CTCCCGCTCCGTGTCGCTTGGGTGGCTGTCGGAAGACACTCCGCGGTGGGACGGATTGGCCCTTAAGCCCTTGACCGGGACCAAAAATGTGCTCCCTAGTGCTTTGCTCAATAGGGCCTTTTCCCGGAAAGAAACAAGGGGTCTTATTAGTGTTGAAAAGAGTGGTTCGAAGTGAGTTCAAAAACGAACGAGACCATTCCATGTTTGCCCGAGAGCGCTCATTCTTTTGCAGAATCGACTGGTGAAACAAATTATCAAAAGCTTAGAGTATGTGCATCCGCAATCTCGAAAGCCAGGACAGCGATAGCCTGGGTTGCAGTCTCGGTATAACCAAACGGCGTTGGCCGCTGCAAGTAATATCAGGTGGGGGGTGCCGTGCGCGCGAGGCGACCGTCGTGGAATAATGCTTCCGAATGCCTTAAAAATTGGTTCGCACCGTTCAATGATTAGGCTGAGTATAGCTTTTTGACAACTTTGAGGCTGCACTCTTGACAGATTAACAGCTACAGCAACACGAAAAACAGATATTGTACCTGTATTCCTCCAGTTCGCCCATCACATTCCAGGACCGCTTTGCTGTAAAGGCCATTCTGTTCAGTTCATCAATCTAAAAATCGCACAGGTAAAATATACGCCCGCCTACCCTTTAAATGTACGGTTTGATATCCTAAAACGTTCTAAGGTACTCCTGTCAAATATGTCATCATTTTTGTCCATCCGTTGACCGCAGCTTAGTGTTGGCCGCTGGGCCGACGCTGTGCGGTCTGCGGAGACTACAACGCCTGGCGTCGAGATGTTTGTTGCAAGATTTGCGAGCGCGCATGCTCAAAGCTACGTTAAATGATTTGCATCACTAATCAATTCTGACTGAATCTTGAGCATTTCCAGGCAAGCATACCTCAGTCCTGTTAATACAAATTGTAGACCCATTTCGATCTACATTCGCGGGGTCCTTAATAATTCTGCACAGCCCAGATAAGATTCTGACAAGGCCTCTGAGCTCTATCGGCGTAGAAAAAGTTCACTGGACTATTGCAAATTGAAAGGTGCTGGTGATTTGTTTCATGCAGTTTTCAAGGCATAAGTTCCTCAGTTGACTGACTACGAAATTCAGACGGAATTGGTCTTGTAGCTGCTATTAGCGTTTGCTCCAGTTACACAAGATAGAAATAGCAAAATATAAAAAATACGTCCTCATTAGCAAGTGCGCCATATTCAGTGATTTCTTCTGGTCTTTTTAGCAACAGGGGTTCCTTGTCAACCATGTGCCCTCACTTGCCAGGGCTTTGGCTACATGCCTGTGCTGAAAAGTAGGGGCTCATCGGTTTGGTGGACTATTTGTTAAGTCTTTCCCCCTATCCCAAAACCGGATACGCCGCACCTTATAGGAGGTGATTGCCTTAGAAACCAGGCCAGTCGCCGCCCAGCTAGGTGCATCTGTCGCCGGCCCAGTACCGCACCGATGACTGACAGCAAATCGATCTGATTGATCCAAAACAGGGCATACGGGTAACCTCAATAAAATTTTGCAAAATGAAAGGGACAAAATTTGCATGACTCTTCAAGAAAGCTGCGCCGTTCACTTTGCTGAAGCGCTGGAAGGTAGCGGGGAAAGTTGGTCCAAACGTGAGTGTGTTCCAGTGATGAGTGGGCTGATGTGGGCGCCAGCGAGTGGGCGTACTAGGACTATGTGTGGAAAGGTGCCAAATGCATGAAGAGCGAAAATGCCAGATGGGGACCAGGGGGCGGCTCCCAGGGCCGACATGCAAGGGGCTCTCGACAGCGTAACTCAGAGCCTGCGCGGGATCCCAGCCCTTCATGGCATGCATACCAGGGGATTCAGGTCGGGCAAGTTCAGTCGGCACGTGTGGGCCCGTCGGTGGCTGCTTGGATGTTATCACCGGTAAGAACAGGGGAGGTGCGAAACCGTGGTTCGAGGCACGCTAGCACGCCCAGGGAGGCGAGTGCCAAGATCGTCAAGATATCCCGCTGCCGCTGCAGGGGTGTATTTGAGTCTAAAAGTATTGGGATATACTCGCACTACGACGAAGCCGGCGTTTCGAAACGCTACTCATGGTCACCATTAGTCAATAATTTGCATTATCATTATATTTTTTAATTAAAGAAGTCATGAATAATGACGCAGAAAAACCAGGAGCTAATGGCCTTCCTCGCTTGTGTAATCCGAGCCGTGTTGGGATCTGGTGCTGCTGAGCCATCCAAGCTAAAGAAGAAACGACCGCTGGACGATAAAACACGACCCTCCTAAAGTTTCAGTCATTTTGGGTCAGGAATAATACAAATTAGGAGGCATGACATCACATTTTGTAGCTCGGTACACGTTGTAAGTGTCAACAGCCGAAGCATTAGCGGCATTGGTCGTTAACGTTGGAATAATTTAATACCGAAGTGGGAATTAATTTACACGACGGATTGCAGCGGGTCTTTTTTGTAACACGTGGTGCCCGCAAGCTATGCTAACTTAATGGTTATGAATATTTCGATTACCCCAAATTACTCCGAGTTAATGATCTCCCATGCTTTTGCTCAAAGTTGAGTTGGGAGCAAGGTAGTTCTATAAAAGCATGAGTTGGGGACAGGAGTTGCCAATTCCTGGCACACATTTTGGTGTTGATATGCCGACACAAATTCAAATCCCTATCAACGAATATCAGGGCATGGCCGGTAGAGGATTGATGTTTGGGTAGGACAACCACAAAAAAGGCAATGAACCGTGGAATAAAAACTAAAGACTTCTGCAGTGTTGCAATGTTAGAAGTAATATGCTGTTATTTCAATAAAAGCTGGCGTGACTTTGACTGGCGTGACTGGCGTGGTCATGACCTTGGGGTCAAATGAAGTCAAACAAGCTCAAACCCAAGATTGGTGTCTCAAGTGCCCCCATACCTCTTCATGCCATCGCTGTGAAGCTGGCTACCTATTCTAAACAAAAGGTCAGTGGTCAGTGGTCAGTGGTCAATTTATGTCAGTGAGCTTGGTTGGCCTTTATAAGGTCAAGGTGACAAAATGCCTTCGAGATTGCTCCTTTTCTGCCATTCAGTTAGGCGCAAGTGGTGGCCAGAGTCGTTCCAGGTCAGTGACCTATTCTGACCATAAAAAGCGCATGGAGCATGTCTGCTGCGGTCCCTGAAAAGAATAAATTCGAAGTGAGTATCAGACCTTGCCGCATAATTCAAGCTCTCAAACAAAAATTCAGGTTAGTTTCAACCTCGGCCTGACCTCCATACTTAACCTAAGGTCAATGGAGCTTGTCGTTTTCTAACTTCGACTGATTTCAAATGCCTAAGACACTACCTAAGGCATGTGTGGCTTCGTCTAGCAGTACGTTATCGCACCACATTGAGCGATTCACTGGAAATACCCTTCGCTGACCGCTACAGCCCAGCTTTGACCCGCCATAGGTTAGGGACCTTACAAGGCACAGCTAGTTTTTCACGTCAAAAGATTTGTTATTCAATTGTCTACAGCTATGCAAAGTTTGGCTCGGCTGTGCCGTGTCGTTGAGAAATCATTCTGGAAAAACCTTCCAGGGAGCAAATTAACCCGCACCTGAGCGCGTTTTAAGACAAGGAAATGGGTGATTTTCACGAATGCTGGTATGGCAGCTAACTTCTAGCAAGACGAAGTGTCTTTCCATTGTATGAACAATACAAACTTTGTATGAAAGAAAACAAATTAAAGCAGACAAAAGCAAGGCTGAAAAATTGGCCTTTAAGTTTGTGAAGAAAAATTCAATCGACTTGCACTTTTACAAAGTTTTGTGGTAGAAACCGCTAGATTTTGCAACGTAAACCTTAGGACTAGGTGCTCCAAAGTTGATGGGGCCACCCTCCCAATCTGAACGCCATGGGATGGGGGGATCCGCGCCGCTCCCACCGCAACGTCTCTCCAACACTTGCTCCTACGCCCCCACCCTCCTTTCACCGCCTCAACGTCTGGAGGATAGATATCAAAGAAAAGGAAAAAATGGGCACACGATAATGTAAGGTCAATTATGCTTAAGTGCGGCGCTGCTTAGATGCTCTGGAGCCTGGTGGCCCGCTGGACAAATACAACGGCGCTGAACTGTCGGCTAGCAGAAGTAACGTGAAGGACGCCGGGCTGTTGTGGAGCGATGCTATGCATGAGGAGTCAGCCAGCTCCCAAAGCTCCGCCAATGGTGCAGTGCATGTCCAAGAGCAGCATTATTGAGGGTGTGAACATGCAACTTGTGCTATCAGTAATACATGCCGACTCGTAGACTGATATATGATACATGAAACCGATTGATGATATGCATAAGTTAACGGATAGATGTGTTTTGTTGTTGCCACTTAATTCATTAGGGAGTCCAAACCGTGTGGTAACAAAGCGTCCCATGGAAATGGTGAAAAATACACAGTAAAATATCGTGCGTATTGTATCCCATGGCCTCAATAATAAAAGAATCTAGCATATTCCGGGTCACAACATGACAGGTCGTCCCTGTCAGGTACGACAATGATTAGATGTCGCAAAGAGTAGTTGCTTGATTGGCCCATTCCTTTGAAAGTTCCACTCGCAGCCTGAAAATCCCAATCCTAATCTCAGAGGCAATGATCAGTTATTCATATTATGTCGCACTACTTTAATAATGTGATTGCGTTAAAATACAAGGCTCTGTATGTATTGTTCAAATTTTCAGCTTTGCTTTCGACGCATTTTTTTATCCTGTGTAGCCCCGTTACATATGGGTTCATGGCCTGTCTTTAATCATACTCTTTATCTACAGTTTATCTACGGCGTGATTTTCCCGATAACTTAGGAGCTGTTTGCAATTAACTTTTGCATCGACGTTAGCTGTTATGACATCTGACAGCGGTTCAACAAAAATACTTGTAACTCTGCCTCACGCCGAGCTCATGCTACGGAAGTTCCATTGGTCCCATATCACGTGTCAAGGTCGATTACGTCTTTTAGCGACTTTAGAAAGGAGACAGTAACTCAGTGTTGTGCGGCGAATAAGGTGCATACCAGCTTGCACTACATTTCTTTCCCCTGGGATTTACAAGCTAAATTATTAGGTTATACTGTCCTCCAATGGACAGTGCGGATCGATACCAAGGCTGATCAAGGCTTTGTGTGCACATATGCATACACATAATTCACGCACATGGTGCTACCCTCAAGAGCTATGACATAACCTCATTTCTTTTAAATGCACCGAGTCTAGGACGAGTACGAGCAGGATGCTCGGCGCTGCCTTGGCTGTCTGATCATCGGAGTCGGACAGTATGCGCAGGGAAGGTCAGCTGGGCGGCGAGCGGCCAGACGGCGCGTCGCCCTCGAGCCGAGGGCCCATGGTTCTGACGGGTCCAATTGCTGGTGATCGTCCGGTGGTGTTCCGTGTCTCCGGCAGGACAGAGTTGAATGGTCCAGATTTACTCATCCAGGTGAGCACATGTTTGAGAACTTTTCAGGTGAGCGTGCACGTCAATGCATCCTATTTCGTGCGACAGGGCCTATTTCCAGCTCATCGCTATCATCAAGACCAGATGTAAAAGCTCGGGACGGCTCTATACCCTTGTTCCATGACGTACATGCTGGTCGAACTAGATAGGAAACAAAATGACTAGAGGCGTGGTCGTTTTTGCAGACAGCGATCAGCCGAATCCCTTGATTTGCATTGCCTTATGATATATTATCACTATAACTGGGTGCTTTGGCTGACCCCGAACAGGGCCGTGTCTTCTGAAAAGCGACGAAACGCAAAATAAGACGTCTACATGGGTCATCGCTTCTCGATGAAGTAATTCCTTGCTTGTAGGCGCTCCATTGTTAGTGCGGTGTGCACACGTATGAAATATCTCTGCAGTAGTCCAAACAAACACATTTTAAACACAGTCAGCATTTTAGCATTCAAGTATGGAAAAGAAATATGGCAGCACTCGTATTTATCTCACAGCGCCCTCGCTCGAAATATGGCTCAGGTGATTTGTTGATGCTGATTACAAGGTGCCAATTATTCGAAGCTTTTAAAACTTAAGCTTTTTAATTTCTCTCACTATGAGTGGCTCGGGATCTTGTTGTTTTATCCAGCAATAGGATTCACACGAAAGCTTCACACTTGGTGTTATTTAATTGTGTTGTTCAAAGTATGGCGCCAGTCCACAAGTTTGTAACGGGAAATTGGCGTGCGCATTGGCCACATATTGACCAATGGGTGTTTATGTAGAGGAAAGGGGAGTCTGTTGTGGAAAATGCAGGAGATATGTAACATAGACATGCATAACGCAACAGGACATGCAAGGTTCTATCCTCAGCATATCGAAAGTGCAGCATGCCCGGCATTCAGAAGCGCAAGGTGTTGTGGTCGTAGACGGCTAGGTCAGGGCTATGTGAGGTGTTTTATGGCGATGTGGATATGGCTGGTGGTTACGCACATACCTAGTCGGCATAGTATTATGTTTTGCCTGCATGGAGGTGTGGCTACATGCGTTTTCCACAGAAGTTTATTTAATTCGGAATCAGGAATATTTTTCCACAAAAATGACATAACAAGATGATCTGGTCCATGACAGTGAGGACTTCTGAGTGCCGGACGTGCACTGCTGTTTGATTTTTCAGCAACGCCTGCGGGCTGGTGACGTGCTTGAACATCTCAGAAGCTGTTGGCATGCGAGCTGTTGGAAAGGTTCCAGGAACTAAAGTTATGTTCGCTATTGTCAACCGTACTCTGTCCAGGTTTCTGTTATGTGGACTGTTGGATTAATTTTGTTGTGCACTTGCCTCAATTGAAGCACAATAGTTTCCCCACAAACGTCCCTTTAGTTGGCCCTTAATGCTTGTATATTCCAAACAGCATTCCTTTATGAGTTCTACGTTTTCAGCTGTCACGCGATCCACTCTGTGTATCCCACTAGCCTTCATGCTGCGTGGTAAGTATAACAGCAGGTAGCGCTACCTGAAAAATAATGCGGTCACGGTGGCAGTGCTCACCGACGCGAGTAGTTCTGGCTCGTCTGCGGTATGCGTTAGGCTCTCAGGCTTTGTCGATAGACATAGAAGTAGGTCACTTTGTTTGGGGAGTTCCTTCAGTTCAGTAACATCAAAGAGGCTAACGTGGATCCGACGTCAACAGCCGTTAAGAGCGAAATGTTTATCCTTCCTTGAAAATATGGGAGCGCGAATGTTCCCATATTTTATTTAATGTCCATGCCCAAGTGTCCTTTATTTTACGATTGGTTGATGTTAAACTCGAGCACTGGGCTCGTCGACATCATTCAGTCATGATAATGGGACGAAGCTTTCAAGCCGTCGCGGCTCTTTGGAAAGGTATGGCCACACACCGCCGTGCTGAGTGTTCACGGGCTTTTTCGGACAGCTCAGCGAAGAATGCCGTCGCCGTTCAAGTGTTTTAGATTCATTAGAGCGCAAACGTCTCGCTCGTGGCTAGGAAAAGAAAATGAGCGGGAATGAATGTTGTGCTTGTTTTTGCAAGCGTGGCAATTTTTGTTCCAGCAGGCGTTGGAGTCGGAGTGTTTGTTAACCGTAGTTAATTGTGCTGAAACTGCTGCCACTCAAGCAGTCCGAACTATGCGATAATATTGACGTACCCCGCTTGCAAAAGGGCCGTCTGGACTTAAAGCGTTTGATGCAAAACCATAAAAACGCAACAATTTTGGCTATAAAAGCTTTGAAAGCACGTTTGTCCATCTCCCAGGTCCTGCACCGAACACTAGACTTTATGGACCAACCGCTGTGTTTTCACACTGATGTTAACGCCTGGAACAGAGCAGCCACCTCCCAGCATTGCGTGGTATGTTCTTTTTTTTGGTGGGGGCGGGGGCAAAAGTTATTAATTGTCCTAAGATTTATCCAGTGGCGTAGTTGGGTCAGTCGTAATAACTTAGAACTCTTAGGACGATTGGGACTTTCGTTACACAGGAAGCCCAACAAAACATGCGTCCAAAAAACAATCGTTCAAACGAAAGGTCCGTTCCCTCCTAGCAAACTGGATGCAGAATCCGCTGCAGAGTCTGCGGTCGTCAGCTGTTGCGGACTCAAGGCACCACTTCTGAGCTCTCTTACCTGCGCTTTGCGGAATTGCGCGGTTCGAAATGCCGCCCCTAGCCCGTGAAGGCAGCCCGCTACCGAAGTTACACCGAATTATGCAGCCAGTTCGCAACCTGTAAAAGGGCCTTCAAAGACAAAGTTGGGCACGTAACGCTTCAGTGATCCGCGATGTTGGTAGTTACATCAAATGAGTTGACCATAGAGCACATAGGCTAATCATGAGCTTAATTAACTGCGCCAAAACTGGTCCTCATGATGTTGCTTGACAAGTCTCCAGCGGTCTCTCATACGGTGTACCGACTGGTTGCCCAAATACCAAGACAATTAAGGTACCAATGTACTGTAAATTTGATGTAAGCATAGAGACTCTGTGCTTACGTATGTGCGTGCATACGAGTGTGTGTCTATACGTGAATCGAAACATGAGCATTGATTCCTCATTGATTTATCTGTGTGCGCATCGATACACCCGCGTATCTCATTCAAACTATATATATTTATGCAACGTCATCTTTTTGTCTCATTGGGTCTCTCTCCACCCTCTCTCTCTCTCTCTCTCTCCCTCTCTCTCTCTCCCTCTCTCTCTCTCTTGCTCTCGCTCTCCTTGTATCTCCCCTCGCCCCCTTTCTCTTTCGGAAAACGTATGGGCTAGATACTTCCTAATATTCATCGTTCCTTTGTTTCAGGTTTGTTTAGATCGTGGCTGGATTTTGTTCGACGAGGATTCTCACCATGTGGACAACTGGAACATCTGGTGGCGCAACTCCCATTTCTCCGTCTCCCAGCACCGCCTGCTTCAGCCGTGGCAGGTTCTGTTTTCAGAGACCTAAGGATACCTTAGATCTACCTTGGGTCTGTCTTTCACACATAACACGACACACGAAAAATTTTGAGGGCACATTTCTCGCTTCTCAGTATGGGCGTGCACGTGAGCGTGGAGCGTGAAATTCGCCAATGAGAGTGAATTACGCATGATTTAAACATTGGTCTTGAAATTCGTTTCGCTTCCTAGCTCAGTATGCTCCGCTGAAATACCTTAACAACTAACTCTATCAGAGCTGATTGAAAAGGCTGCGTTGGCGCAGATGTTAATCAGTGATAATTGTATTGTCGCGTCGTCAAGCACTGTCAATTCTATTCGGAACGCCTTTTCCCCAAATAAATTGCGCGTATTTGTCCGAGATTTCTCAAAGTCTGCGCTACAGGACGATCGTTCCCAATATTGCAATATTACCAAATTTGCATAATGTAGGAGACAAGAGGGCGAACATCCACTTGTATGTTTCATAGTATTTTCCTTTTGCAGTTCGTCAACCATATTCCAAGAGCCAACTCCATCTGCCGAAAGGATTGTCTGGCGAGACACTTACAGAGGATGAACAAAGTTTATGGAAACATTTACAACTATAGGTGAAAAAGGAAACATACGTTCCCAACCCAAGTGGCATCATCAGCCTATTTAAAGAACTGGGCCTAGTAAAAGTTGTCTTTTGAGTTAGAAATAGCTGCGGCGTATTGTGATGAGTCATATGCTAACTATTTCCAGACATTTTTACGTTTTAATGGCTCTGCAAATTCTTAACTTTGACATGCGCCCGATGGGTACCGATTATCAAGGTGGTAATTTCGTAGGGTGACGGGCGAAGATCAAGCGTAAAAAGGGTAGAATCGCTAGCTGCTGATTTTTTAAATCGTAGCTTTTCGGTTGTTCTAAGATCATTAAAATTAAGCGCTTGGTGCACGTCAAAGTCGTTCAACAATGACAGTCTGCCAACCTGATATTCCAGCAATGCAATCTGCAACCACGTTTTTTTTGTGCGAACATCACCTTGATTGCTGGAATTCGTTCAGATTTGAGTGAGAGCAACATTGTATCCAGTTCTGCTTGTCCATTAATGACACCTGGCTTTCCGATAAACAGTCATTCCAAGCGTTTGGTGTTAGCCCACAGACATACAACTTACCGTTGGATTACACAAAACTGGTAGCCGAGTACACCCGAATCTTGGAGGACGGTGATAAGGCCACCTGGATATGCAAGCCAGTGGGCGCCAGCCAGGGAAAGGGGATCACCATTTTTTCGGTGAGTGCCTTTTGAATGGTTCGTTTCTATTTTGCTGGTGTTTGCAACCGTCAGGTGGGACGTATGTGGCCTGTGCGTCTCTGCAAGAAATGAAAAGCGAAGTAGGCTTGTATCCAGGGATGAGAGCACCACATGTCAGCACCACCTTTACTGCCATACATGTCATTGGTAAGTCTGATCTGTTCGCAGAGAAGCGATAACGACGACGATGACCGACCGGGAGGCAAGGCCTGGCCTAATCGACGCTATTTTTGCAGGAACTGTCGACGCTGCAGTACGATTCCAACGCCGTGGTACAGCGCTACATCCACAACCCCATGCTGATCGCCGGCTACAAGTTTGACCTCCGCATCTACGCCTGCATACCATCCTACCACCCACTCACCATTTACCTTTATGAGGAGGGGCTTGCCAGGTGAGTTGCATCCGTATGCATGCGTCGCTCATCGCGACATGCACTCTAGGTAATAATGCTGAGCACTACGGCACTTTTTCTTTGCAGCTTGAACAAGAATAGGTAGACGTCACTGGGCTCTCGCCACATCTAAGCCTGGCCAGAACAACAAGGACTTTGTACAGTGCATTGCGATCCTGTGCTGTTGGCGGAGAGTCTTTGTTCCTATAAAGGCAGGACATAACCAGCGCCGTGGGCGTCTGGGGTGCGAAGTTCTTTTTTATATAGGTGGTGGGGTCCGGCACTGAAAGCCCCCGCTAAAATGACGTAGTGCAAAACAGCTAACAACCTCTTACTAGACATAAAAGGTTATTCTTAGAAGAATGTAAATGAATTGCATATTTCGCCCCTGGGGCTTTGTCAGCGACCAAGACACTGGGGAATAAATCTGAATCATGTTTGTCAATATTTTGGTTGATGATGAAGTTCCCTGAGCTAAATATCCAATTAATGCAAATTAAGACAGTCACATATTTATTGATACGTAGCATGAAATTATTGATTTTTTGGAACTGCGTTACTCATTGATTACCTTGTGTTACGCGAAAATTATCATAATAATGGAAGGGCACTCCATTTATCTTATGTAATACTTTTGTGGAGTGCATTGGTAACGCTCCTGGGCCTCGGGCAAACTCCACCTCAGTTTAAGTGTTAGACGACAACGTCGTCGGGCCAAAATTAATCTTCCTTTTCGGGGAACGATGTTCTGGGCCGCTGAGTTTTGCAGTGGGCTCACGTGCCGTTCTTAGGCCCCGTTGCTACGAGCTGCTTTGTCCGAACGTCTCCTGAGCTAAAAATAGCGCTGTCCGTCACGCTCGGCGCGGCCCGGCGGCTGGCGCGCCTGTCACGTGACAAGGCCGGCTGCGGCAGATCAGTGCGGGTCGCGCACGCGAACAACGCCCCAGGAAACAGCCAAATAATGCACGAGGGCTCCTGGATGCTTGCATGACTGGTTGGCGTACGAGAAGCACGTGCTTGCCCCTGACGATGTGTGACTGGGGAAACATATGAGGACAGCAATGTACTTGGGCGGATTACCGCAGCAACAAGTATAAAAGCCAAAACTTAAAGTATAACATCGTCAACTGACATCATTGGTATGAGCTCAGCGCCAAATCAGTCATGATGCTTTAAATCGCCCTGCTCGAGTGCGATGTACTTACGAGGCTATTCTGTTGAAAATGAGCAGTCATTCTTTTTTGTTCTGCAGATGGTTAAGGAACGAAATGTGAATGCTTATTTTTAAAGTTTGAATTCTTCCATTGTAAGCAAAACTAACATCTAAATGATCGAGCCCGGCTGGAGAATGAGCGCAGAGACCACTGCAGGCACGGACACGGGCAATAACTTCCCTTAGCCTTCCTCGCCAGTCTCGATGGTTTAGCCGACATCGACAGCATAGAGATGGTGAAGTGAAGGCATTAGCATACTTGACATAAATACTAAGAAAGGGCGCATCGACAACTACCACAGCCCGCCGCCTCTTACCCACCGGCCTCTTACAATTATACGCTCCGGCCAGATCGAGTCTGATAAAACCTGCTCAACTTTTTTGGCTTCACACAATTATTTAAGGGGTAGTTAAAGGTTTGAGTAAAGTCGGAAAAGGCGAGATCATGCCGGCATACTTCGCAGACATATTTAGGGGCATCGCGGTAGTCAGCAGTCGCGTATGTCACTAAAGTTTGACGACGCACTCAGTTACTGTGGCAATGCGGCGTCGCCTGCCTCTCACCCTGGCATAAGCAGTGCGCGCTGGGGGTTATGGAACCCTGTACCTCTGGTTTCACGGATGCGCAGTTAAATTTTTAAATTCATATGCATAATTTATGTACCTAATATTTTATATTTACATACATATTAAAGATAAATAAATTGAAAACTGAACTGCAGATATATATATATATATATATATAATATATATATATATATATATATATATATATATATATATACACTCCTTGGACTCCGCTGCCCACAAGGCGGCAAGCATTTAATCCCAGTTGTCAATAGCACGGCAACCGAGATGTCATCTGGCCGCCTCAGTACCAGGAGCGTGGCCAGAGCCTTAGCAAGGAGGGGGGGGGGGGGGGGTGGTGGGGAGGGGGAGGCACAGGGCTGACAAAGGCCCCCTGATAGTGAGCACCCCCCCCCCCCCCCCTCCCAAAAAACTGGTGCACATGGCCCATTTGTTAATGAGGGCGTCTTTTTACTTTTCATGTTTACCTTCCATAACTGGAACAAATACCAGAAGCGGCCGCGAGATCAATTCTGTCTGAATTTTATAGTACAAAACTGAAAAAATCATGAGCCTTAAGCGACTGCATGAAAAAGAGATCCGGCACTCTTCATTTCGCAATGGTCCAGTGGACTCTTCCCAAACCGGCAGGACACAAAGTTTTGCCAGAAATTTGATATGGTTCTTCAGTAATATTCAAGACCGCGCAACGGTAGATTTAAAACGAAATGGGTCAACGGTTCATATAAACAAGGTCAGCCATGTTGATCTGAGAATTTTCAACACTCAGTGAGAACCGATCAGTGATACGAACTATGTAACGTGGTTTTGAACGCGCGCGCTCGCAAATCTAAGTCACAAATGCCTCGACGTCAGGCGTTGAAGTCTCCGTGGGCTGCGCGGCGTCGGCCATGTGGCTAAGGCGTGGCCAATGAGCGGACACAAATGGTGACGCTTCTGAAAGAAGTGTCTTTGGATGCTTTAGGGCATCAAATTGTGCGCTTGGAAGGGAGTCCAGCCACATATTTCACCTGTGCGATTTTTAGATTGATGGTAAGAACGGAACTGGCCTTCACAGCACCGCGATGTGGTGCTGGAATGTAGTGGTGGAAATGGGAGAGTAACGGAAGAATCTCTACTTTTCGTGCTTCCGTAACTGTCCAACTCTCCAGATAACAGCTCCAAGTTGTAAAAAACACACTCCCAGTTTGATCTTTGAACGATGCGAATTAGTTTTGAAAGATATTCGGTATCTTTATTTCAAAGCGGTCTTCCTTGCGCGCACGGCATCTGCCGCCTGGTGTTACTTGCAGTGGCCCACACCGTTTGGTTTTACGTAAACGGCATCCTTGGCAATCACTGTCTTTTCTCTCGAGATTACGAGCGCACACACTGAAGCCTTTCGGTGTAAATCGTTTTATTAGTAGATTCTGCAAGAAAATGAACGTTCTCAAGCAAACATGGGATGACATTGTTCGCTTTTAACCATTTCGACCTTTTTCTGTCCAACACTTATTAGATCCATTGCCTCCCTCCGGTCAGGGACCCCCTTGAATAAAACACCAGGGGCACGTTATTGTTCCCGGCCAAGGGTTGAAGGGCCATTCCACCCCACCGCGGGGTGTCTTCCGGCCGCCGCTCTGACGACGCGGTGGTGAGATCCGCAGGTCGACGTGGAGGCCCTATAGGGATACACCATATCACATTGATTTTCTCCCTGTCGCGGGAAGCTTTCTGAGCCGCACTGTTGGCTCCGGATGGACACAGGAACCCCCATTGACGCAACAACATGCCTGATCGCCTCAGATGGTCCAATAATTGTCACAAAGTGTGCCTTTGGCCGACTCGGGGTCCATTGCGGGCACAGCGTCCCCGTTAGGCGTTGTGTGGCCGTGATAGATCCTGGAGCCCCGGCCAATGTAAATCGCTGGCTTCAGTTATGTCCCCGCTTGCGAAAGGGGCTCTCAGGCCCGTACCGCCACGGAGCCGACTGTGCGTTACTGATGGTGTCTGACCAACATATAGGTCCTTAGCTACTCAGGGACCCCTGATCAGCGTGCAGGGCCCTCTGTCTGGGAATGGAGTGCCCGGCCCTGCAGGCCGGGCCCCATGCATGCAAACTCCAGCCGGCCGTCCGGGCCATTCGAGCCCTCAAAGTAAACCCTTAATCGTAGATCCGGCCCCACGGAACCTAAGGGATGGCACAACACACAACACACCCGTGCCCCTACCCCGCCTGCGCCACTGCCAGTGCGTGGGGGAATTGGGAAATTTACGGCTCGTCGTGCTCAGAATCTTGACTCGCTAGGGATTACGCGTTAGATCGCCGCTCCGATGTTCGCCGGTGAAGTCGCTGGAGCTGCAGCTCCCTTGAAAATCTGGGCATCACGGCTGCGGCACGCTCAGCTGACATGCCGCTCACTCTCCGCCAGCCCAAGGCTTCCAGTGCTGGTGTGTTGTGCTGATCTCTTTCAAGCCAGCGGCGACGGGAGCACCAAAATGACTTGTCATATTATGGATTTTGCTCTTGTATGCTGCGTTACAGCTCACCATTATCTTCAGGCAAAGCTGTGTATTTGAAAGGATTAGCGACCTATTCATCAGCTGTTTTGTTCCACACGGAATTGTCTGCCTCAGTTTTGATAATTCACGGTAATGAAGTGATAGCGACAGGTGAACTAAGGCATATTCGCTTTCCAATCAGGATGAGAATCAAGGAAGAGACTGGGGATTTTGGCGTAAGCTGATATCTTGCGTGAGCGGAAAGCTGTGCGTTGACCTGAGCGATGGATTAACAGCAAACCCGCCGTGACTGAGCCTTCGTTTACAGGTTTGGAACCGAGAAATACAACATGATGTACCTGGACAATAAGTTTTCTCACCTGACGAACACCTCCTTGAATAAGCTTGGGCCCTGCGTACTTCGTGGAAAAGGAACGGATCGGAGCAGGTTGGTTTGCTTAAGAGTGGGATGCTGTGCATCCACAGAATGTAGGACGGTTGCTGGTTCATCACGCTCTGATTGTCACCCCACCCCCTAACCCCGCCCCATTCCCCTCACCCTCACCCCTTACCTCCACCCACCCCGCCTCATCCCCCCAGACCCTCAGGCACATTTCCCGCTTGGGTGAGCACTGGGGGGCAGCGCTCCGTCATGAGAAAACGAAGGGTAGCGGAGAGGAGGGAAGAGGAAAGTCAGACACTTAGAGCGAGCGGCGAGCGGGATAGAGAGAAGAGAGAGGGACAGAAAGAGATGTTGCCACTCGTTGGACAGGATCTTTTAGGCCCATTTTATGAGGTGTTAAATAAGCCCGCTTGCGACTATTTTTTAGCTGTACTCAGGCTGTTGTGTAGAACAGTTGGAAGTAGGTTCTACAATTTCGTAACCTTTCCTGAGCATCATTTTCACATCACTTATTAATTGGTCCGGCCATGTGTGTGTGTCCATGGGCCTCACCGTGCCTCTAAATGTAAATATTTTTGAACTCTCTGTAAAACTTGAGACAAGGGACTTTAAGTCAAGTTCATTGATCCAAGAAAACATTCAAATAAACGAAACATTTTAAAAACATTAATCCATCCAAAAAACATTCAAAAAACATGGATGAGACAATTAGGTTTATTGGCTCAATATTTCAAGTTTGGGCATAACGGTGATATCTTATCGTATAAGTACTCATTGTCATATCATTATCAAACGCGTATCATGTGATATGATATCGTCATTGATGTGGCTCGCAATGCATTTATTGGAATTACTTGACACGAACCCCACAGCTGTATCGAATGTTTATAACCTGTAACAATTATGCTCTCTCAAAAGTTTTATAAATGCCCAAACTATTACCTGATGTCACACCCTTTGTCCTTCTTTTAATATTTTTGGGGAAATAATGAGGTCATGCTGTTAAAAAAATAAAATACTGAGATAACATTTGAGAAATGACTTAGTCCAAAAAATTCCAAAGAGCAAAGGAACCAAAGGAACAGGGGGCAAAATGACCTAGCTAACGACAAACGCGGTCATTTAATATCTTGCAGTTTTCTAGCCAGTAAGTTTCGATTTCTTTTTCGAATATTAAGGTTTCTAAGTTTTCTAGTCGGTAGTTTTCTTCAAATTTAGACCGAAATTGTTTGATGCGTAGTCATCGGTGCTTCAGGCATCGACCAAGTTACCTAAGGTACAATGATCTACACCGACTTAAGTTTGCCTGAATCAATCTGGACTTATATGCGTCGTTTGCTTCCATTAATATGAATACGAAAGGCCGTCATGGCATCCGCCATGGAAGTTTGATATGCCCTTACGTCAGGCTAGCAAAAAACACGTAGGCTTTCATTCATATAAACTACTTTGATAAGCGGTTTTTTGACGACTTGCCTGCAAACCTTTTAATGCAACTGTGAAATTCCAGCCCGACCGAATACAATATTTCTTAAATGATTTGATCTGATTTTACCTGATTTGCCGTTGAATTAGTTTGTTGCGTGGGAAACATCATTTGAGTGGCCCAAATGTGTGAACGTTGGTAAGAGGCCGCCCATAATTCTGTTCGTTGATATGGCCGAATTTTATTTGGTCTTAAGTCCAAGCAAGCCATGTCAGAAAACAGCCAAAACTCTGCTATGGGGAATTGGAAACGTAACTGCACTGACATCACATAGAACATTACAGTTGCTCTAATAATATCACACCCTGTACGAAACCGTCCCGCCTGCGTCTGTTCGTGTCCCGGGGAGCACCTCAGCCGGATCGGGAGTTTGACGAGGACGGCCACAGTTCCTTTAGGCGACAGGTGAAGGTCGTCGCCAGCGAAGACTGCCTCTGAGCTCCCCCTTCGATATCCTCGCATGTTCTCACAAACTACGATGGCCTAGTCTGTAGCGGCGTCTGGAGCCTTTGTATACACTGAACACCACAGGAAAATTGCTTTGAAATGGGCGCCTGGCTTTTCTGCTGCTGTTTTTTTTTCAACTCCTTCATTCTCACGAATATAAATCATTTATCATTGGACTCGAAGCGCATATTATGCGGGGCTCTGTTCTCGCGCCATGACGAGAGGATTGACAGCAGTGTCGGTGCGCCCACTCATCAGACACGTTCACGGTACATGTGAAAACTTAACACTCATCAGGTGGTCAGTCTTAGCTTCGGGGTGCTGCTGGGCTTTCTGTCCACGAGGACAAGAAGTCCCGCATGTCCCAAGGCAAGCGTGACAGATAACGTATATATTGTAGACGCGCGCCGGTGCTGCTCCTGAAGCTCGCCCATCATCACACTCGATGGAGCTCTGAATATCATGGGCTGTGAGTCTAACAACGAATACATTCATTGACGTAGTTCATTGTTTGTATCCATATATTATGTCGCTTAAAGGTATTACGCAGTGTATGCCCTTACGAGAATTTCTAGCTGAGCTGTAGTAAATTATGGGCCATGCTATTACGCAATTTTCCTTCCCTGTAACCGCCCGTGCCTGTTTGGTCCATTAAATTCAAAGCATTTTCATGACTTTTAAAATCCGGATTTTCGAAACACTTTAAAATTCGTATTGTGCCAGAGCGGATGCGTCCTCTTTGCAAATTAACTTGGGCCTTCCACGAAGACATGGACAGAAAGCATGGCGTCTTTTTGCAATTTAGACCTCTCCATTTGGTGCCGTCCCTGCCAAAATTAATAGAGGAAAGGAAGGAACTCATACGAAAGAAGGGAAAGGAGAATAGAAAGGAGCATTGAATGTAAATTCTAGTCAAAGTTGAGATCACTGGAAACACTGAAGTAAACAAAACTATTTGTTAAGAAAGTAGCAAACCACCTGCAAATTTCCTTTAAAAACCCATTTTAAGCCACTTTTGTCAAAAACAGACACTTGGTGAATAATTTGAGCTAATTCGGAGTCTTCGGCCCCGAATGCACCTAGAAAGGTTTATAACAGCTTTGTCAAGGAGCGTATTACTCGATATTTCATCAAGTACTTACCAAAGCTGTCGTGCCATAGTCATCATGCCCGAGCTATCTTGCCCGAGCCATTGTGCCTGAGCTATGTATGTCAACCGAATCCCGCGATGTATCAGCAATCGCCGCATAAGGCGAGTACATGGAATTCCTTTCCAGCCAGTGGGGCACAAGCCACTTTTTTACACTGGAGCGCTTTAGCCATGGTCAGACGCATCGCCTTCCGCCTGTTTCAGGAAGCAAATGGACGCTGTCTCAGCTCCGGCACTACTTCCACCAGGCCGGCGTGGAGGACTGGCTGCTGTGGCAGCGGGTCAACACCATCGTGTCGCTCACCGTCCTCAGCCACATCCAGGACGTGCCCGTCACGCGCAACTGCTACGAGCTGTACGGGTTCGACATACTGGTGGGTGTCGATAGTGTCGATGCGTGGACTGAGGGTTCGACATACTGGTAGTGTCGATGCGTGGAAGGTTCTGATTGACATTTGCGCTGTGTGGAACGCCGATAGGACGATTTGCTCGCATTATGACCGAAGACAGGCGAGAATCCCTAACAAGTGCCATGTGATGGCAGCACTAACTCTACGTTCCAGACGATGTCACTTTTGAGGGCCAATAACACAAACGAGACCCTCAGAGGAACCTCAAACAAAATATGTGAATGCGATAAGCTAACAACAACCAGAGAAGCATATAATTGTAGTTGCATCGAGCGCGCAGTGGCTTGCATGTAGAGATGCTCACCGCTTAGATTTCCTGAACCTAATCCACTCGCTGCCTGTGGGGTTATGCGCACACCCACCCGTTGCCTATTCCTTATCAGTTGCACCCACTCGCTGCCTGCTCGTTTGCCTTTTGAAATGATAAAGTTATAGGTTATCGGAAAACTTCCCAATCATTGATAGCCATTCTTGTTTTATGCATTGATAATATGCACAGGTAGTGTGAATGGAGCTAATTACGCCTAAATGAAATGCATACAAATACAATGTGTAGCATTTCTTGAAGTATCCACCCACCTGGTAAACACCTTACTCATACCCATGCTCATGCCTGTATTTGTCGCGAACCTTGTACTCAAGCCGACCCGTTATCCATTCCCTTTGTATATCTGTGGGCTCACCCAACACTTGAAGACTTCTTAACTGCACAATACCTGCATCTGGGTTTGTGCCTTGATGCGGCACCTGGCAAGTCCAGCCTCACATCCTGAAGCAGACCAAGTCGCAAATATCTCACCAATTCGGAACAACCAAGCCTGCAGACCGAAAACATGTTTTCTATCACTTTGAGGCCCGCTGCTCACCCTTGGATCCATCCCCATTCAGTGCAAAACACAGTGTCTGGAATAACCACCATTCGCGAATTTGTACATCTGAGTGCGAGCATGCTTCCGTTTTTAGCCATAGGACGTACGCAGGAGGTTTTGTGATAAAGATGGCTTTGAAATATAAGAAATAAAAGAAGACCAGTAATACATCAGTAACATAACCGCCTACTGTGTTTCGTCAACGTACTCTAAAATTTTCAGTTATTGGATGCAATACAAGTGGTTTGCAACGATAGTGGTCAGTTCAGACAAGTAAGGCGTAGTGCTTTCAACTGATATGGAGTGCGTACTGATACGGCGGTTTGATTTAGCTTGATGCACAATACGCTCCAGATCGACTCCGACCTGCGACCATGGCTGATGGAGGTCAATCTGAGCCCTTCGCTGACGGCTGACAGTGACGTGGACATATACGTCAAGAAGCCGCTGCTGAACGACCTGTTCGACCTCATCGGCTTGCCAACTTCGCTGAACGACCCAACCATCTCTCCGCAGTGGCCAGTGCCTGATGAGAAGCTTTTTACCAGGCTAGTAAGGTCCCTCGGGTCATGCAAAGACCTCCTCGAGGTCAGCATAGTGGAGCTGTCAGTGGACAATGCATGTGTTCCTCCGCTGCGAGGCTATGCTTGCAATGTGCTATGGATATGTCCGCGCTGAAGTTCTCCATACGAATCACGCACCTGTCCATCTTTATGTCCTTTTTTCCTAAAAGCAAAGACATGCAGGTACGTGGTATTGGTGCTGTTATTAGGCACGGAACTTCAAACCTCAGGGGGAGTAGCATCCGTCCACTGTTAGTTCAAACACCGACATCACATCATTAACAACGATGCATATTCAAATGGTTTACTAAATTTAGGTACATCCAACTAACGAGTGAAGCTCGTTACAGCTGACTGGAACACAATAGTTGCATCGAAAGTGGATTCACACCGCTAATCCGTTCATATGTTTTGGGACATTGGTATGATATTTTTTAAAGTCCAAGCTTGTGCTATGTACTATAAGCCTTCCTCAATAAATTCGTGATTGGTATTGCAGGCCAAAAACGGTCCAGGACATTCGTGACCAGAATGCGGCAAGGAGACGAAGAAAAGAGCAGGCCGACACGGACGACAGAAGCCAGACATCACGTCAGACCAACAGTTCCGCCCACCAGAAGCGGTCCAAGAACAAGAGCCCGGTAGAGGCACCGGACGACGCCATCAGCTCCAGCGACACTGAGAGTTGGATGGGAGCCGGGCGCCACCCTTCGGATGACTGCCTGAAGATTATTTACAGTTCGGACCGGCAGATGTCGTCGTGTTCAGTGACGCTGGACTGCTGGCGTCAGGCGGACGGCGAGGCGACGCACCGGTCCGACACGACATGCGCCGGCTCCGAGCCGGGCCTGGTGGAGAACCCGTGCAGCAGCGGTGGCGACTCCCAACACAGTCTGGACGCCAACCGCTCGTGGACGGACGTCAGGTCGCGCCGCTGTGCGTCCAGGGAGAGCAGCGATGTTTTGCTGCGCGCGACAGCCTCAAGGTTGCAGCCAGCGAAACACGACTCGAAGGGCGGGCGGTGTGGATCGTCCAGGGCTGCGTCTGTTGATAATCTGATCAGGCACACACCTTCTAACAAGTGGAGTGAACACGCGGACAAACTTGAGGGTGGATGCGTCGCGGCACGAAAACGTAAATCAAAAGAGAAGTTTGGGAAGGAGAATGAGAAGAATTGCAGCCAGCAGCGAGCTAGCAAGTCACCGTCTGAAGATCTTTGTCAGTTGAGGGGAAAGCGAACATCCAGTGGAACGACGCTGAACAGCGACCGCAAGTACAGTGCGGCTTCTTCCGCCACCGACATTGCCAACTCGACCACCTCAGCCGAAATTGATCGCCGAGTTTTGCCGCCGAGTCAAAATCTTCCTCTCGTCAAACCCGATCCCAGAATTCCCACCAAAGTGAAGACGTTTCTAGACAAGCTGCGAGCGGAGAAGGAGAGCTGTCAGGCGCGTGCGCTCGAGAGCAGCCGGCAGGGCTCCGAGCGCCAGCAGCGGCGGACGCGGCGCCACAAGCGCAATCCGTTCTGGGGAGGCGACGAGTCCAGCGGCCAGTCGATGGCCTCTGCCGTGACCGTGCTGGTCAACGAGCTCGGCATCATCACAACTCTGCGACCCGTCAGCAACAGCCTGCCGGCGTACCTCACCTGTCAGACCCACTACCTGGTGCCGAAGGGCCCTCAGCCGGCGCCTGCCTCTCCGTGGGTGAAGCTGTCTCAGTCGAAGCCGTCGATGGACCAGCTCTGCAAGACTGGCTGTGAGGAGCGAGAGATGCTCATGCTAGCTTACAACTGGCACGCGTTTCACAACAAGTGGGGCAACGGCCGAGACTGGCGATTTGCCCCGCCCAAGGTCGGGGGCTGGTACCGTACGTTCCCATTCAATGGCGACACGCGACACGCCTGCGAAGACCCGATCGATAGCAAGGCCATCGTGAACGAAGTGTCCGCGTATCTGCGGTTTGCGCGCAAGATTGCGATGCAAGTTTCCAGATACGAGCCCGACGTCCTTACAAGGCAGTTCAAGGCGAAATATTGCCGCCACAGTGAGCTATGGATGCCCTGCATGTAGGGACTTTTCTTCTGTCATGGGGGGAATAAACGACAATAGTGCGACGAAGGTATAGGTAAGATAACGCTATGCCTGTTTAAAGATGTCGGCAGCGTAAGAACGCAAGGTCCGAAAACGAATCGACGAACATTTCAGAAATGCAGCTCCTCAGATTATATCCAGCCAGCCAAGCAACACGAAAAATAAGGCACCTGAAACACCTCGTTTAATCACCTACGCACGTTATTACTAGAGATACATCAGGCATGCAAGCAACCAAAAGCGTGCTCTATTTGGGAAACGTGATTAATAAATGCATTTGCAACGATTTTCTCTTTCGGGTGTCTACGTACCATTCTCTTTCGTCTAACGTCTGTCGGCTTTTGAATGACACGTGTGGCACTTGCACAAATGCCATGCTCCTTTTTCTCTTCTTTTTTTTCTTTCTTTTTACCTTAAAAATTTCCTACGCCATCATTGCATTCTCTCGGAAGCAGTAAAACATGTGTGCAGGTTGCCGACAGAGTGGTGGTTTAGCCACGCGTCTAGGAAGCCGGAGGTCTGGTGTTCGATTCCCCGCGATGTCCGCCCTTCCTGCCAGGGTGAGTGGCAAGCGCCGCCACACAGCCTGAGTGCGTTGAGATCACGTCGATGACGTCGTCGTCATTGGAAACGACTTGCCTCCTCTGAATCGTAAGACTAACAGCAAGCTGCAAAGACAGAGGACCGGAGGTCACAATCACCATGGCAGAATTCAGAAGCCGAAGATTACCAGTGTCAGTTAGGATCTCTTATCCTCACAATAAGCGTTCTTCAATATTCCAGGAAGCACTGGTTAAACGACGTTATCTAGCAGGCATTGGCTATATTAAGAAAACTGGACCGCTCAAGTTTTGTTCCTGGTCAGGAGTGAACGAGTGTATTACGCTGCCGTGACGTGGTAGAGTAAGAACTCCCATCTCGCAGTAGCAAAGAACCGGGAGCTCATGTACCTCCTGCTTATTTCAACCAAGAATTAAGCCCCGTGTGAAATGAGACTTATGAGAGAATACTCATTGTTGTAAAAAGCTTAGAATAGGTGTAATCTAAATGCAAAAACCCCAGTAAATCAACCGGCTGTGATCAGCAAAATAAGTGTTCTTTCCGCTCATGAATGGTGAGTCAAGGCGCGAAAAAGGCGTTATACGCAGAATGGCCTGACCTGACACCGACAGACAAGAGGCTATTAAAAAGATTGTGAGCTCTGCCAGGGTGCGCCGATATAAAAAACTGAACTGCCTGCACCTGTCAACGGGCATTTCGATAACTCATAGGCAGAGGAGTAAGGACTGGTGGCTACACAACCAACAGAGCGACCGTTTGAAAAAGTAGGGCAACCAACGCTTTGACATGTCTTGCAAGTTATGTGAGCAAGAAAGGCCTTTCACTGTCGTTTTTGGGCGTTATGAGTTGAGAGTTTCATTTTGGAAGCAGTTGACACTCAGTATGCCAGGAATTTGTGGGTAAACGGCGTTAACAACCGAGCATTCTATTTTATAAGAATACCTGACCTTTGGAATTTGTCCTCATGGGCAAATATTGTCGGAGAATCGGTCGGCACGGTTCCAAAACTTATTTTGCTTTGGAGCACGCCGCACAAAATGTGGTTATTCTATTGTTTGGCAATTTTTTTGCGGCACAAACAGATGGAAGAAACACCGCCGAACTGTACTATAAATCGTCCTGTCAGCAATGTGCTACAGCCCATCTCAATCCCGTCAAAGTTGAGCAAAACATTACCCAGCCATTCCGGACCGAGGCATTCCTTCGGACATGTTTTCATGGCGATGTTCAGCTGCAGGCGTCGGTTCGGGCAGTTGGAGAGTTTCCGACGTTTTCATGCTTCCTTCAGCACTTGCGGCCTGCTTTACTGCTGTGTTAGTGTATCAGAAGTGTGCTGTCGATAGCAATCGCTCTAATTTTGCTAAATTTGCCCAGCGCTGAAGCGTGCGGTTTCGCCTTTTGGAGACGTTGAGGAATGTCGGAAGTCGATGATCTGTGACGATACAGAGTTTTGCGCCAAGAACACGTTGACGAAGTTTCTGAGCGGCCCATAAGGAGGCATAGCATCATTTCGGGATGCTTGGCCACCGGCACTGTCTGTCGTTCAACTGTCGCAAAAGAAACGGAATGAACTGTTCATTTTCGGGTCAACTCGTGTCAGAACAGCCTCGACTACATTTTGCTAGGCATCCATGCACAATTTGTGCGTTTTTTTAAATCGGGATAGGCCAGAATTGCTGCAGACATGAGACTTGTCTTCAGCTTTTGAACTCAATCTCCCACTTTTCTGGCCAGATGACCCTAGCGTCTTTCTTCATAAGCGCTTGAGAGGACTTGTGATTTCAGCAAATTTTGGGATGAGCCTTTGATGGTACGAAACATGCCAATGACATATCGCACAATCCTCAAAGTATTGGATGGTTCCACGGCATAAGTGCCACAACAAAACGTCCTACCAGCAGGAGTGCTACATCACTTTTAGTGCCAGTAATTGTACACGACATTAGTGCTACGCAACAAAGCGTATATCTTAGAAACTCATACTCGTCATTACTACTACTGAAAATACTTATGCAGCCATTGCTTACATGCGACATTAGTGCTACTCGACAAAACCTATGCTGCAAAAATGTATACCCATCATGACCTTTACCGCAAAAGCTTACACAGCCAGTGCTTATACACGGCACTACTTCTATTCATGGGTGCAGCAACAGGGGGGGGGGGGGGGGGGGGGGGGGGAAGGGAGCGGAGAGCCATGCCCCCCTTTCAGAGCTGGCGGGACAGCAATATCTACTACCCCCTCCCCCAGTTGCGTTTCTCACTGTTGTACCATCTTTAATATGTATGCTGATTTACCTAGTTCACCAGCCATCTTCCTCAACATACGCCATTTTTACGTCTTCCCACTGCCCATCTAATGTGAGCCGCGGGCCAACGCCGCGCGGGCCGCGGAGACTGCAACGCCTGGAGTCGTGGCTATTGTGGCTAAGTCATGTCAATACAAATCCAGGACCCCATTTCAACCTGCAAGCTACGTTCAGGGACTCATAATATCTCAGAAAAAACGGAAAACATATGGAACTGGAGTCTTTATTACAGTTGTAGGACCGCCTGCGGCAATCAGGGATGTTGTTGCGTCAGTAGGGGTTCCTGTGTTGATGTGGGGCCAACTGCGTAAGTCAGAAGACATCCCACATCAGGGGAGGAACTGTGATATGGTACATCCCTCTAATGGCCTCCGCATCGATCAGGGGAACCCACCCCGTGTCCCCAGAATGACAGCCGGAAGATACCCTGTGATGGGATGGAATGGCCTTCCAGTCCTTGACCAGAAACAATAATATGCCCCTAGTGTTCTGCTTAGGGGACCTCTTGCCCGGAAGGAAATAAGGGTTCTCATTATTGCTGAAAACAGTGAGTCAAAATGAGTCTAAAAACGAGCAAGACCATCTCATGCTTGGCTGAGAACGCTCATTCTTTAGCAGAATTGACGAGTGAAACAGACTGCATGAAAAATTTGAGCATGCGCATTCGTAATCTCGGGAGCAGGGACAGCGATGGTCTGGGTTGCAGCTTCCGTAAAACCGAACGGCGTTGGCCACTGCAAGTGACAGCAAGTGGCGGCGCCATGTTAATTTGTGACCTGAACAGATTGACAGGTGCAGCAACACGAAAAATAGAGGCCTTACATCTATACACACACACACACACACACACACACACACACACACACACACACACACACACACACACGCACACACACACACACACACACACACACACACACACATATATATATATATATATATATATATATATATATATATATATATATGCCTAATACAATCGAAAAAGTATAGATGAATAATAGAAAAAACCTGTGCTCTTCCAGTTCCACCAGCAGATTCCAGCGCCACTTTGCCGTTCTGTAAGGGCCAATCCGTTCTTATCATCAATCTAAAAATCGCACGGGTGAAATATGCACCTGGACTACCTTCTAAATTCAAGGTCTGATATCCTAAAGCACTCAAAGGTACCTATTTCAGAAGCGTCATCATATTGGTCCACCCGTTAGCCTCGGCACAGTGTTAGCCTTTGTGCCGACGCTGCGCGGCCTACGGAGACAGCAACACTTGGCGTTGAGGTTTTTGTTGCTAGGATTTGCGAGCGTGCATGTTTAGAACTACGCTACATCATTTGAATCACTAATCGATTCTGGCTGAGTACCGAACATTCCCAGAAAAAAATGACTTGACCTTGTCAACACACATTGTTGACTCATTTCAATGTTCAATCTACCTCCGCGCCCTTGCATGGAGCGAGCGCCACAGGCGCACGATCTGGTATCGCCCTTTTACGGACTGAGTTAGGATCCGATGGAACCGTACTGGACGCACCAGTCACCTATGTTGTTGTGGAAGCCATATCACTCATACCAAGAGCTCCACCACGACAGAGCAGAGTATCTGACCGAAAGCGAGCAAGATCAACGGTATCGTCATCTGCTCCCGGAAAGAAGCGGCTGCAGCAAGAGCAGCAGAAAAAGGGGAGCAAGCCGCTGCGTGGGAAAAAACGTCACAAGGCTGAAAAGCAAAGCGAAAGCCGGCAAAGAAGGAAATACCGTCCTCCAACGATGGTGGTGATGAAGATATGACGTTTTTGGTACGCATGGAGCCATAATACAGGAACAGCCGGCACAGAGAAAAGTGGATCCAGTGTATTACTTGCAAGATGTGGACGCACGGGGCATGCACGGCCGGCGACATTCAGTACAAGTGTCACAACTGTGATTCGGATTCTTCTTAAGTGGATATGGTCTGATGATTCTGTTCCACTGCACTATACTTCTGTTCTATGCCTTATGTAAGATTTTGTCACAGCGAGGAAATTTAACTTCGTGTGTTAATAGTGATCTTGGAAATACACAAATGCATCAACACAATTTTGTGATAGATGACAAACGGTGGTCAGCTGTGGTGTGATTGTGCGGGGTGTGAGCCCTCGCCCTCGCTGTCTTACGAGCTCTACATCTGACTGGGTGCCGGGGACGTCACGTGACCGCGGGTCCCCGATTCGCCGGGGTCAAGGGTCGGCCGCTGAGGTGGCGGCAGGGACCCGGCGCTCGCAGGTGCCAGTCGGTTTTTGGACGAATCCTGGCGAATGCGCGCTACGTTATCTTACACCAACTGACCACACTATGTCGAATATGTTACCCCACCCGCGGAGCCATCGGACAATGCCATAAGTCGCGTACATCATTGCTATACTAATGTGTGCGCAAAA